ATTTATAGAGCGCCAACAGTTCTTCTTAGACATGTGCACTGCCAAAAAATTTGTTTAGTTTAGTTTCGTTTTAAATTCGGATTTGTGTTATTTCGTTTTTCGGGATTCGGGTGCGAAAGTCGATTCGGATTCGGACGAAATTCGTTGGAGGTAGTTCGTTCGAACGTTCGTTTCGTTTCTTATTCGTTTCGTTCATTCGTTCGTTGGTTTGCAGCAAAGTGACATTTGAGGGGGAAAATGTTTTTCTTCAACGGACGAAACGAATAAGAATCGAAAACGAAATGAACGTTCGAACGAACTACCGCTACCGAATTTCGGAAACGGAAATTCGGATTCGTTTGCATTCGTTATATCTGTAATTCGGAATTCGGATACATCCGAATTTCCGAAAATTCGTCCGAATTTCGATTCGGAACGAAACGAATCGCACATGTCTAGTTCTTCTACAATATAAGGAAGACATTACAATCACAATACAATACAAGACAGGATGGTAAGGAGGGCCCTGCCCCTGAGGGCTTACAATCTACAAGGGAGGTAGAAGTGATACATGAGGAGGGAGCTGTGTTGGGGATGAATGGTTTGAGAATGCGATGGTTCAGTGGTCAGGTTGAGGTGAGATCGACTTCCCTGAAGAGATGAGTCTTTAGGGATCGCCTAAAGGCAGTCGGAGTGGATGATAGATGGACAGGTTGGGGTAAGGAGTTCCAGAGGATGGGAGAGGCTCTAGATATGTCCTGCAGGTGAGCATGGGAGGAGTTGACGAGGGAGCTGGAAAGCAGGAGGTCTTTGGAAGAGAGGAGGGGACGGTTAGGGTGATACTTTGAGACAAGGTTGGAGATATATCCGGGGGCGGAGTTGTGGATGGCTTTGTAAGTGACTGTTAATATTTTTAATTTTATCCTTTGGGCGAGTGGAAGCCAGTGGAGGGATTGGCAGAGGGGCGAGGGGAATGGAAGCCAGTGGAGGGATTGGCAAAGGGATTGAAGATGGAAGCCAGTGTAGGGATTGGCAGAGGGGTTGAAGATGGAAGCCAGTGGAGGGATTGGCAGAGGGGGGTTGCAGACACTGAGCAGTTGGTTAGGTGGGTGAGTCTAGCAGCTGCATTCACGATAGACTGAAGGGGGGAGGAGCCTTTGTAGAGGTCAGCCAATGAGAAGGGAGTTGCAATAGTCAAGACCAGAGATAACAAGGGAGTGGATGAGTAGTTTTGCGGTGTCATTGGTGAGGAAGGGGCGTATTTTGGAGATGTTACGAAGGTGAAGGCGGCAGGATTTGGATAGTGGTTGGATGTGGGGAAGAAAGGTGAGGTCCGAGTCAAGGATGACACCTAGCACCTTGGCATGGGGGGAGGACGGATAGTTATATTATCAATCTCAAGTGAAAAGTTGGAGGAAGGTGCACGGGCGTGAAGGAAATATCCTGAGCTCAAAGATTGAGTTTTAAGAAGTGTTGTGACATCAAGACGGATATGTCAGTTAGTATTACTATTAAACCCTCTTTGGCTGTCATCCCAACTGGGAAGATGCAAATGTTACGCCATGTTAGTGGGGGGAGGGGGGTTGGTTTCTCTATTTTTGTACATCTGTGTTCTGAAAATCTGCAATAAATCGACATTGATTGAAAAGAAAAGTTACATTGTTGGTGTATTGGCAGCCCATTGCAAGTGAGCGGGCTGCCCTACCGCAAAACACGTTAATGTGCATGCGGAAACGGACCTCAATGCAGCAGGAAAGTCTGAATGAGCCCTTTAAATTCTGTCTGCATTGCTTCCGTTACTATTTGGACGCTCAGTTTCCTTTATGGCCATGCACAGGAGGTTTTTTTTATTCTTGACGGACAAGACTGATGGACCATTCACACCTAAGTGTTCCCAAGCATAAACGGCATCATGGCATGCAATAACGTCCATTCATTATAAATGTGCTGCCTTAGCACACCCCAGAGGATGAAAAACAATGCATGACCCTTTATCAGTGGCGTAACAATCACCATAGCGACCCAGGCGGCCGCAATGGGGCCCGGGGCACAGTGGGGCCCGGCCAGAAGCCGTGCGGGCCGCCTGGGTCGCTAAGGCGTCCTCTGCTGGTGGCTTTCACTGGCGGCTGAAGACGAACACGCCGCTGTTCAGGTCACTGACAGTAATCTGTGCAGCAGCGCGTTCCTCTCCACAGAGTCAGAGTCCAGAGAGCCA